GTGGGTTGCTTTCTGTGTCCCATGACATGAGGTCTCTGGGATGTTTGGGGTGTATTTCCAGGTGAGAAGTGTCTGCTCTTTGGGGGTCTCAGTCCCAGGGTGTGATATGTGTCTGGATCTTAGGATGTAAATTCCCAGAACTCTTTGGCATCTGTCTTGCAAGGTGTGAAGTCCCTGACCATTTGGGGTATGTTTGTTGGCATGATGTCTCTATTCCTTTTGGAAGGTCTCAATTCCAGGGCTGATGTCTCTGATTAATAGGGGCCGTTTATCCAGGCTATGAGTTATCTGGCCTGTTTATCAGTCTGTGTCATAGAATTTGAGGTCTCTGGACTATTTGAGGGGGCTGTGTATCAGGGTGTGAGGTCTCTGGGATATTTGTGGATTTGTGTGCCACAGTGTAAGGTTTCTGAGCTCTTTGGGAATCTGTTTCTGGGGTGTGAACTCTGAACTGTGGAAGTCTGTAATCAGGGCATGACGTCTTTTGAGATGTCTTGTGGTTCCTGTCCCAGGGAATGAGATCACTGAAGTGTTTGGAGTCTGTTTCCCAGGGCTGGAGTCTCTGACATTTTGGGGAGTATGTGTATCAGGCTGTGAGGCCACGGAACACTCACCAGCTCTGTGCCTCATAGTGTGTAGTGTCTGAGCTCTTTTGGCGATGTGTGTCTGTGGTATGTTCTCTGGAATTTTTTGCATTCTTTTCCAAGAGTTTGAGGTCTTTGAACCATGTGTGAGATTTTTGTCCTAGAGTGTGAGGTTCAGTTTTGGGGTCTGTGTCCAGAGTGTGAGGTTTCTGAGGTATTTGGGTGGGGAGGTGTCTCTGTGGCAAGGTGTATTTTGTGAATTACTAGGTCCCTGGGTGCAAGAAGTCAGGACACCCTTGGGGTCTGTGTTCCATAGTGCAATGTCTCTGAGATGGTTCTGTGTCCTAACATGTAAAGTCTCTGAGTTTCTCTGTGTTATGTTTGTTTTTGGTGTGATGATTATTGTTTTCGAGTCTGTGTGCAGGGAGTGAGGTCTCTAAGCTGTGTGGGAATCTGAGCTGTCTGAGGGTGTGAATTGTCTGAGTTCTCTTAGGGTCTGTGTTCCATGCCGTGAAATCCTTGCGTCATTTGAGGTATGTTCCAAGGTGTGAGGTCTTATATTTTTTATGGTTTCTCATATTTTTGGCATGCTGCCTCTGACCTATTAGTGGTCTTTTCCTTGGGTATCAGGTCTTAGAGTTTGGTTGGGTTTGTGTCTCAAATTGGAGTTTTCTTTGCTAATTGGTTTCTGTGAAGTTTTTGAGCCATTTAGGAACCTGCTAGAAGGTTTCTGAATGGTTTGTGGTCTGTGTCCAAGGTGTGAGAGAGTGTCTGAACTCTTTGGGTAACTGGTGACTGTGTCCAGGCTGTGAGGACTTTTCCTGGGGCCTGTACCCCATAATGTGATAGCCCCTGGATTTTTTGGGGATCTGAACCCCAGCACATGAGGTCTCTGAGCTCATGGGCATCTGTGTTCATGACATGAGGTCTCTGAATTGTTTTATGGCCTGTGTTCAAGGATGTAAGTTCCCTGAGCTGTTTTCGGGCCTGGGTAATAGTATGTGAGCTTTCTGAGATTTGGAGATCCAGGATGTGAAGTCTTTGAGCTGTTTTGGGTTCTGTGTTGCAGGATGAGAATTCTAAGCCATTTGGGATATGTTTCCAGATGTGAGGTCTCTGACAACTGTTCTGTTTCCAAAGGCCTCTGGGCTATTGAGTCATCCGAGTGAAAGCATGTGAGATTGCTGCCTGTTTATAGATTTCAGTTCCAGAGCATGAGATCTCTGAGCTGCTTGGGGTCTTGTCCCCAGAGTGTCACGCTACTGAGCTGTTTTGGTTGGCCGAATCTCAGGAGATAAGATCGCTGAGGGCTAGAATCCCAGCTATTTGGGAGGCTAAGGCAGGAAGATCATTTGAGACCAGGAGTTCATGACCAGCCTGGGCAACATAGTGAGACCCTGTCTCAAAAAATAATAATAACTGAGGTACTTGCCCCAGGGGGAGTTGTTGGGGTATGCATACCAGGGTAAGAGTTGTCTGAGCTGCTTGGGGTGTGTCGAGGTTTGAAGTTCTCTGAGGTAATAGGGGTTTGTGTGAAGGATATGAGATCTCTGGATTTTGGGGTTTCTCTGTTCTCACAAGGTATGTGAGGCTGGGTTGGGGCAGGAGAAGAGGTCTGTGTCCAAATTTTAAGGCCTGAGTACAGTTGTGTACAAAGTGTGAGATCTCTGAGCTCTTTGGGACAGTGTGTGTCAGGGTGGAAGTTCCCTGCAGTGTTTCTGGGTCAGTGTCCCAGCTATGATGTCTATGTCCAGTGCAGGAGGCCTCAAAATTGTCTTATGTTCTGTCCCAGAGTGTGAGGTCACTGTGGTTTTTGAGTCTGGTACCACAGAATGATATTGCTGAGGTGTTTGTGTTTCTTTTTGTCTCAATGCAAGTTTTCTGAGCTGCTGGGATGTCTTTCCCCCCAACATGTGAAGTTTTGGAACTCTTCTGGGATATGGTTCCAGGCTTGAAGGTTTCTGAACTTTGTTATGAGTCTCTGTCAAGGGTGTGAGATGTCACAGCTATTGTGGGTCTAAGTCCCATCACATGAGATCTTTGAGCTGTTTGGCATGTGTTCCCATATGTGAGGTCTTTGACATTTGTGTGCGTCTCAGTCACAAGCGTGAGGTGTTTGATTTATTTCAGGGTGTAGTTCCAGAGTCTGAGGTCTTTGAGGTATTTTCATGAGTGCTATGCCATGGTGTGACACCTTTGAGGTGTTTCCTGAGTATGGAGTCTCATAGGCTATTTGGGGTTTGTTTCTAAGGTCTGAAGTCTTTGATCTATTTATGGGTCTTTGTGCCAGCTTGTGAGGTTTCTGAAATGTTTTGAGGTGTGTATCCAAGATATGTGGTCGCTATGTTGTTGTGAACACTATCACAGGTTTTGGGGTGTCTGAGATGTTTGGAGACCTTTGTTAACAGAGTGCTAAGTCCCTGAGCTGTTTTAGAACCTTTCTTCCAGGATGTAAGATCTCTGAGTTTTTAAATGGCTGTGTTGCTGAGGGTGTTGTAGAAGTGTTTATGATTTGTGTCACAAAGTTTGGACTCTGAGTGCAAGATCTCAACACTTTGCAGGGCTGGTTCTCACATTATGAGGTCTTTGAGCATTTTTTCCCCACTTGCTTTTCCTCCATTAACAGCATGTCCTTTAAGTGGTCCCTCTAGACAGTACAGGTGCATCACCTTCATTCTGTTTGTGTCCAGGCCTCTGAATTGTTTTGTGGTCTCTGTCAAGAACATGTGGTCTTTGCCCAGATTATCTATATCCCAGGTGGCGAGAGGTTTCTGAGCTGTTTTGAAGTCTGTGTCCAGGGTGTGAGCTGTTTGGGATTTGTTTCCCAGTGTGGAAGTTCCCCGAGGTGTTTTGGCCTCTGTCCCAGAGTATGAAAGATCTCTGAGATGTTAGTAGGAGTTTGTGAACAGAGGATGTCTATGAGATGACTGGGAATCTATGTTCCATTATGTGAGTTCTCTGAGCTTTTTGCCAGTTTTTTTTAGCCAGAGTGTGAGGGTCTCTAGGCTGTTTTGTGGTCTGTGTTCACAGTGTGAGCTTCCTGAACTGTTTTGAACTCTGTGTCCCATGGTGTGATATCTCTGATCTCTTTTCTGCTGTGCCCAATGATGTGAAGTCCCTTAGCCATATGGGGTTGGCTTCCAGTGATGAGGTTTCACTCTGTTCCACAGCCAACTGGTACTCTATGGTTTACCTTTATTCATTTCCCCCTTTCCCCCCTAGTTGTTTGTTCCTCCCATTCTTGTGCACACAAACCTGTACACGTGTGTGATTATTTTTTTCATTTTTTAAACATTTCTATTTTTTATTTCTTTTTTTGTTTGTTTGTTTAGTTTCCCACCATAATTTGTCCTATATTTCTTTAGAACAAATACTTAGAAGTGGAATGGCCAGGCCAAAGGAGTCATATTCAACAAATAGCCTTTTGAGCACCTACTATGTGCAGTGCAGTTTTAGGCATGGGGAGACACCAGGGAACTAGAAATTCACATATCCCTACCGTAGTGGTGCTGACATTCCAGTAGGGAGGAGTGTCAGTTTTCTATTTTGACAAATGCACACTTCCATCAGTGGCCTCCAGGGAATGAACGCCCGTTATGGGCCGGCGCTTGACAGCAAGGGGTTACACGGCCAGCTCTTTGCTCTCAACGAGATCATCAGGTTATGGGGCTAGGACTGTCCATTGCTGGACGTGTGGGAGATGGAACGTGAGTGGGAGGAAGACATGAAAGAGTCTATTTAGTTGTTTTGGAGTGAACGGAAGATTGATTTACGCTACATTGACATGAAAAGTCCTTCCTAGATCATATACACAAGAAGAGCGTGATGGGTGGGAATGAAGAGTTAATGACTAGACAGGCTTTGGGAGAGACCACTGCGTGTTGCAGAGATGGAACAGTCCACTCTGGAAGATACCACAGGGGAGGAGTCATTTATCCATTATGTCTGTGGAAACACGAAAGGTCTTCTCATTCCGCTAGTTAATTGGCCTCTACCCTACCGGAAGAAGAGAATGGCTCTGCCTTGATCAACCCCAGCCCCAGGCGTACCCCACCTTCAGCCTAAAGCCTCCACCTATCTGTAGCAGCCACCGCCATGATCTTCTATCTGGTCCCGCCCGCGTCGGCGCTAAGATTCGAATCAACTACTGGGATAGGGTGGGGTGGAAGGCCACGGAACGGTGATTGGCTCAAGGACGAGTTAAATAGGGCGGGATCAAGTCCCTCCCTGAGCTCTGGTTGGTTACTGCAAACTTGCCTATACAAGCTCTTCCAGGGTACAGAGGTTTTTCCGGAATCACGTGGAGGTTACGAGCCGGGTCCTCCGGCTGTGTGCTCTCATTGGCTGCCGGTTCAGTGCAGGCGCTGTGGCTCCTGGGTTGGCGTTCAGGGTTGCTGAGGCAGGACTTCGGCTCACGGAGACCATAGGTTCGAATCCCGTTTAGGAACTTCAACTTGCGCATCTCTAAAAGAAGCTGGAATTATTGGCTTGTACTCAAGAGTATACAGAGTGTGTCGGGTAATCATTTCCATTCTATTCTACTTACTCTTTTTTAAAAAAATAATACTTATTGCATACTATTATATTGATTTCAGGACTCACCGTTCACAACAGCACTGAGAAAAACTTTCTCCAGGATCCCTGGCAACTGTCTTTAAGGTCTGTGTCCAGCAGATAAAGTTCAAGGCAATCTCATAATCCTCCTCCTGGCCAGCCCCTCTCCCGCTGGGAGAGGATGACTTGGAGGCTTCGTGTGTGTGTGTGTGTGTGTGTGTGTGTGTGTTTAGAAGTAGGGTGAGGGGATGGGCCATAAATGACTAAAGAGAGGCATGGGGCCGGGAGCATATTCCGCGCTCACGTCTGTAATCCTAACAGTCTGGGAGGCCGACTAGGGAGGATTGCTTGAGATCAGGAGTTCCAGACCTGCTTGGGCAACATAAGGAGACCCCCATCTCTACAAAAAAAATTAAAAAATTAGCTGGGCACGATGGCTCACGCCTGTTATCCTAGCAGTCTGGGAGGCTGAGGCAGGAGGATGGCTCGAGCCCAGGAGTTTGAGGTTGCTGTGAGCTATAATGATGCCACTGCACTCTACCCAGGGTGACAGAGTCAGAGTCTGTCTCAGAAAGAAGAGAAGGAAGGAGAGCGAGTAATGTGTTCATGCCCTGGGATGGTTACGGGTGCCTGTGTCTTAAAAGGAACATTGTGGAGTGAGGACGACACAATTTCAAGAAGTACAGGCTTTAATGATGGGTTCTTTTGCTAGTATTATATTTTTAATATATTCTTCTTCTTCTTAGCTTGGTATTTACTTTTTCTTGGTTGTATTTAGGAGTGCTCTGACTCTGTTTCACCTTGGGGTAGAAATGCAGTGCGGCATCAGTCCTAGCTCAAGGCACTACCTCAAACTCCTGGCTCAAACTCTCATCTGCCTGCACCTCCGAGTTGCCTGGCACTACACGGCAGCGCAGGCCGTTAGTGGGGGCGTAGTAAACATCTACTGTAGCTGGTGAAAGTCTCTCTGCTGGTTGGAAATCTGTGCTAGTTTAGATATTTGAGATGTTAGGTTTCTGTGCCAGGTGTGAAGTGTCTAAGCTGTTCATGGATCTTTGTCTGTCGGATGTACAGGGAATTTTTTTCCTCTTAAAATGATTCAGGGCTGGGCACGGTGGCTCATGCCTGTAATGTCTCGTGAGCACTGTGGTGGGAAGCGTCCAGAAATAGCGGCGGCGGTTGCTTGGGTCAGTGAGTTGCGAAAACCAGCCTGAAGCAAGAGAACCCCATCTCTACTATAAATGAAAAGAGATTAATTGACTAATTCATTGAAGATGAAAAATTAGCAGCGATGGCGGCGCCTGCCGACCACTACTTCGGACTGATGGCAGGAGGATTGCTTGAGCCCAGGAGTTTGAGGTTGCTGTGAGCTAGGCTGATGCCATGGCACTCACGTTAGCCTGGGCAACAAAATGAGACTCTGTCTCAAAAAAAAAAAAAATTGAATTCCATTTTTCTTTTATTGGCATTTCTCTGACTGCTGGAGGAGCTTAACATTGTTTTCCGTGCTTGTTGGCAAGATGTATTTAAGTTTTATTAACTCCCTTTTATGTCTTCTGATCATTTTTCCTTTTTTAAATTTTTTAAATTTTAAAATCATTTAAAAAATGATTACAAAAGTAGTACAGAGTTGTTGTATACCCTTCACCCAGCTTCCCCTGATGTTAACAACTCACATGACCAGAGTACAGTTTTTAAAACCAGGAAATGAACTATGCTGTTGTTCATGAGCTGTTGTTGAACTGCTTGGTATCTTTGTCCAGGGTGTGAAATATCTGAGTTCTTTGGACTCAGCGCTCACTTGGGTTTTGTGTCCCATGATGTGATGTCTCTGATTGTTTGGTGTATGTTTTTAGATGCTAGCTAGGTATTTCATTTTCTTGGTGATCTTTGTCCTAGAGTGTGATGTCTTTGACCTATAGTAGAGGTCTGTTCAGGGCTTGTCTTCTCCGGCCCGTACAGGCTTTTGTGTTGAGGGTGTGAGGTATCTTGAGCACTTTGGGAGGACTGTGTTCAAAGCTGGGTGCACTCTAAGCTAGTGTTTATTGGCCTGTATCAGAAATTATGATGTCACTAAATACTTTAAGGTCCTGTATCTAGGGCAGTGTTACTGAACCTCGGGACCATTGACATTTTGGACTGGAAAATTCTTTGTCCTGGAGGGCTGTTCTGTGCCTTGTAGGAATGGTATTAGTTTACTAGGGCTGCTGTCATAACAAAGTACCACAATCTGGATAAACAACAGAAATGTATTGTCTCACAGTTCTGGAGGCTAGAAGTCTGAGAGGTGTTGACAGGGTTGGTTCCTTTAGCAGGCTGAGAAGGAAAATCTGTTCCATGCCTCTTTCCTAGCTACTGGGGGTTTACTGGCAATCTTTGGTGTCCTTTGGCTTTTGCTGCACTACCCAGATCTCTGCCTTCGTCTTTTTTTTTGACAGAGTTTTGCTCTGTTGCCCAGGCTACAGTGCTGTGATGCTGTGACATCAGCCTTGCTCACAGCAACCTCCAACTCCTGGGCTCGAGTGATCCTCCTGCCTCAGCCTCCTGAGTAGCTGGGACTACAGACACATGCCACCACGCCTAGTTAATTTTTTCTATTTTTAGTTGCCTAGCTAATATTTTCTAATTTTTAGTAGAGATGGCATCTTGCTCTTGCTCAGGCTGGTCCGAACCCCTGATCTCAAGTAATCCTCCTGCCTCAGCCTCCCAGAGTGCTAGGATTACAGGTGTGAGCCACCATGCCTGGCCTTCTGCCTTCATCGTTACATTGCATTCTCCCTGTGTGTATGTGTGTGTGTCCGTCCTAATTTCCCCTTTTCATAAAGATACTGGCCATAATTGGATTAGGGGTCCACCCTACTTCAGCATGACCTCATTCTACTTTAACTAATTACATCTGCAACAACCCTATTTCCAAGTAAGGTCACATTTTGAGGTACCGGAGGTTAAGACTTCAACATATGAATTTGGGGGCAGGTTGCAATTCCACCCATGACAGATGTTTAGCAAGAGAGAAAAAGGAAGGGGGGAAGAAGAGAGCAGCCCCTGACATCCAGAAGTGGACCTGGCACCCACCGCTAGGCCATGTAATTCTCCTATCAGACATAATCTCACAGAATACCAGCCACAGATAAGGTTAGTCTGAGGCCATGATAAAACGGGACAAAACAAAGCCACTTAATTTTTAAATTTAAAACAATTTTTTCATGTCAGGCAGGTAATGTGCCAGTGTCACATCCAGGTTTGAGGGAGACACATCTCATTTGTGAGCATGAAAACCCAATTACCATGCTCGTGAACTACACAAGGATCACAAAGCTACTTTATAATGTTGTCTAAACACAGCCAAAAATAAGGTCTGCTGTCTTAACCATAAGATACCAAACATCCCCCTTCTCTTGGTTAAAATGAGTGCCTGCTAATTATCAATTACAGCTTCAGCCTCACTCTATCCTGCCCTCCCCATAGATAAGATTTATGGAGATACCCAAGCATAAAATTTCCCCCATTTTCTAACAACATCCAATCTAGAATGAGCCCTCACTTCCTTGGATGCTCTCCCAAACCACTCAGCCAAAGCTGAAATGCTATCCTTGTTTCTTTCTAACAGTCCCTTACTGAGATGTCCCATGGTTCCCTGTGGAGTGCCTTCTTCACTGCAATGAGTAATAATCCCAACTTGTTCAACTACAGGTATGTTCCTGGTAGGGGGGTCTTTGGCTAAAGGGCACTGGCAAACAGCATCCCTGGCTTCAGCCCACTGGATGCCAGTAGCACTCCCTCACACATTGTTGTGACAGCCAAAATGTCCCCAAATATTGCCAGATGTTGCTTGGGGGACAAAATTCCCCCTGGTTCAGAACCACTGGTCTGGAATATGATGTGTTTAAGCAATTTGGGAGTGTTTGCCTGAGGGTTGTGTTCTCTGAAAGGTGTTTGGATCTTTGACTCAGAGTGTGAGGTCTCCGGGCTGTCTTAGGGTTTCTGTCCCAAGGTTTGAAAGCTCTATGCTCTTTGGGGTTTCTGTATCAGGAAGGAGTGACTTCATCATGAACCAAAATCCAGACATGAGGTACGTGTAACATTCCCCCGCCATGCCCCACCCCACCTGGGACATAGGTCAGTTCAGAAAGGCAGTGAGAAGCAGGAGTCACATGATTGGCTATGAACACCTCCATTTTAGGATTGGGGTTCACAGCATTCCTGGCTTCTTTGTATAGACCATGAAGTACAAGTGACCTCCTTCCTTCACAACCACTGTGTCGCCCTCTGTTCTGGAGGTCACAGTCTCCCTTGACACTGTTTTTGCAGATTGTGTCATAGGGAGATGTTTGTTCTGTGTCTCCCAATACCAGCCATGGAGTGGGGACTCCTGTTTCTCAGGATGGACGTTGCTCAGATGGTTGTTGGAGTCCATCTCTCCTCAGGCCTACGATAACCCAGCACAAGTGAGTTTGGGAGCCTGGTAGACCCTCTGTCAAAGCCTAGAACCCCCAAGTCTTGGTTGGATGGTAGGAAAATTTAGCATTTTGGATCATCCCTCTAAACCTTAACTTGACCTGCTGAGGTTTTTACAAGACTGGTCAGAATCAGGACAGCGCACATTCCACTCACCTATGCCCTGATTTCAACCCTTCCCCCTAGTCACACACCCTTTCTGAAGGCAGGGCGGGGGAAGGGAAGCAAGCGACCCGGGTAATTGCCATTGCTGACCAGAGGCCAGTGTGGGCCTGAGACTGTCTCAGTTGGAATGTAGTAGTAATCTGCATATGTCGTTTAATATAAATGTATGTTGTGTTCAAGAAAGAGTAAACACTCCCCAGAATTGTGTCTCCATCTCTAGGAAACCCACAGTTTTACTTCAGCTGTTCTCTTGAGAACATACATAACATGAGGCAAGGATACACAATGAAAAAAAACATTGTTCCCCTTCTGAAAATTATAGATCTGGTTATAAGAGCAACAGGTTTATACATTAATGTGAGAACTAGTCTATAGTTCCCAGTATAAGAGCTTTCTTATTTTTTTGTGGGTATATATGTAAGAGGTAGGATATGAGCTCCAGAGAAAGGCTTTGGGAGAGAGTATAGGGCCTCAGTGGCTTGAAGTCTCAAGAGAAATAAAAAAATTTGGACTAAATGAAAATGAAAATAGGCCAGGTGTAGTGGCTCACACCTGTAATCTAAGCACTCTGGGTGGCTGAGGCAGGTGGATCACTCAGGGTCAGGAGTTTGAAACCAGCCTGAGCAAGAGCGAGACCCCATGTCTACAAAGCTGAGCAGGAGATGGCTCGGAGCCCAGGAGTGTGAGTTGCTGTGAGCTTAATGATGCCACTGCACTCTACCCAGGGTGACAGAGTCAGAGTCTGTCTCAGAAAAAAAAAGAGAGAGAGAGGTATGGTTTCATGCTCTGGGATGGTGAGGTGCCTGTGGCAATTAAAAGGAGAATTTTTTTTTGTTTTGTTTTTTTTGAGACAGAGTCAGCTCTTGTTGCCTAGGCTAGAGTGAGTGCCATGCGTCAGCCTAGCTCACAGCAACCTCAATCTCCTGGCTCAAGCAATCCTTCTGCCTCAGCCTCCAAGTAGCTGGACTACAGCATGCGCCACCATGCCCGGCTAATTTTTGTAGCATATATATAGTTGGCAATTAATTTTCGTGTGATAGTA